GCATCACCCTATACCGACAAAATGATGGAAGGTAGTACAACAGATCAGGTGACGCCTATTTCACGTCCGCTAATGATTTACTAGTACTGATTTAGTCCAAGCTTCAAAGATGTCGCTTCCTGATCTAGCCAAACGCATGATGCGTGGCGCACTGCAGTTGGAATTGAAGGAATTGCGACTCAGAAAGCGAATCTTCTTGAACTTCCACGACTTTCAGATGAGATGCCTCGACGAGCAGCCTGAAGGGTGAGTGAAGCATGCCAGTGAATGATAAACAGCTGATCATTTTGCACTCATACATGACAGGTATTTTAAAAGCGGTAACTTCAAAACGGTATCAAGACTCGCGCAGATGCTCTTCGCCCACCGGCAATCGTCGATTGACGTCCTCAAGGCGTGTCGGCTCATCGCTGTAGGAGAAGTGGGGAAAGGGAAAAGAGAAGTCAAAAGGGACAAAGTGAAGAAGCGCATTTCGAGAGGGAAGAGCCAAGCGTAGTATGCCAGCTACAGCTTCATGTTTCGGCTTGTACTAAGTCGACCGAAGGGTGCGTACAGCCCTGGCTTACGACTGTTTCGTTCAGGCCCCATATGTCGGGTATGATCGCTGTTCTGTGGCCTATGGTCTGTTTTGTGTCTAAATAGCAGAGCGAGCAAATCTCCTGATCGCGGAAAGTCAATCTCAATCCTGATCATGTACGGAATTTGCCGCTGAGCATCGGGGTAAAAGAGCTGTTGTCATTGAATGCGCGACGAGAAGCTATCAACCTGCCTGAGCCTTACGTGCCGAAGGTATTAATGGGCTCAAGGTCCAAGGTGCGGACCACTTGATAATCGATCCCTTGAACAACGGTGGAAAATATGTATGCGAAGGTTATCTGATAGGCATTTAGCCATATATACCCTCACCTGCCAATACTCACTTACTGCCTTTGTAAAGCTCCATCCACTGCTTGCCGGTCCCTCTGTGGACCCAAGCCCCAGCTTCGAATTTGTCGTCCGCGCCAATGAACTTGCAAAGCAAATGATGGCGTCTGATATCGAATTGGTGAAAACATACGATTACCACCGTAAGTATCGACCTCCCTCGGCGACACGAAAGTATATACTGATTGGTCTGCTTCAGATTCCTTCCAAACTACTTCCCACCGGCGTGGAATCACACTGCACCCAACGGCTCTGCTTGTGGCGCTTCGAAAGATTTCATGGAACCTTCTTCGGATTTCAGCATCAGCGGCATTCAAGATTCATTCTCCCAGCGCACCGCCGACTCGTGTATTCCATGGAATGTCCACGTCCCTGCTGAGAAAGCTTTCGCCTTCTCGCTCATAATTATCGTTGGGAATGCGAATTGTGCCAGTACCTGTTCGGCTTTCACCACTTTGATGCAGGAACTGTGCAGTGTCAAGATCGTCAACTTTAGTGCTGCCAAGGGTGCTTAATCCGGAATGGCGGGCGCTGAAGTCCTCGAATGAGATGCTTTAGGTTTCGAGTTCAAGGTAAGTACATTGGACCATTGGATTAACAAAGCGAATCATGACGTCCATCTTTGCAGACCGCCAACCTCAAGGACATTCCTCTTGCTGGACCGGATCTCGTTGTCAACGCCAACTTCCGGAACACCTGGCGGTAGGTCTTTAATCAGCCTGAGATTCATTGTAGCTGCGCTGATCGACCTTCGTTCGCTTACAACAAGAAACAGTTCAAGTTGGACTGTTGGAGCCACCGGTCAACAGGCCCCCGTGACAAGCCACAACTGGAGCAGAGCCTTCGACTGGACAAAGACACGAGAGCGCTGTTCACCTCATGCAAACAGGCGTTATGAATGGGTCGAGATGACATACAGCCCTGAAAAAGAGTGGAAGTCGACAGACGGGACCTCGTTGTGTCACCGCGCACAAACCATGGCACGTGCAGAATCTGTAAACAGCCGTACGGCTTTGCCAGTCTTACAGTGGATGGGAGGGGGACGGTCTTTGGGTTCGTCACCTCGACTGTTCGCTGCTCGTCAGAAAGAAAGGCATCCTCAATGGTTTGACAATAATCTGATTTTCAATGTCGATGATAATATCGAGGGCACGATTCCACATCTTGGTCAACAGCACCCTGGTCCGTTGCACCTTTGACTGTAAACGCTTGACCTATGGCATCTTGGGCAAAGCGTTGTCGGATTTCACCCAGCGTGGCCTGGCCGAAATGCTCGAGCATATTGTCGAATACTTCTCAACCTTTACAGGAGAATTGATTCGAGGTCGAGTCGCGAGTCTCCCTACCCTGCTCCTGGACGACGCCACGTACGAGTTCTCCATGCAAGGAGCACATGATGATTGCAGTGCCATCGTGAGTCATGGTGGTAGTTGTCTCCCTGACAAGAGCTAATAAAATCCAACGTTTTCTAGCTTACGAGAACATGTTCAGAAGGCCGTGTCGAGTTGACCGTGTGCCCAGTGTATGTAAATGTAGTGTACGAGTAAAGACGTTGCGCGGTTCTATCTGGAAAGCAATGAGTTGTAGAAGTACTGCGGGATTATCATATATTCCTTTGCAAATGGCAACAGACTTTCACAGGGCACACCGTGAGGGTGAAGTTTTGCCAGACGTGGATGTAACTGTGACGTCGAATGGACATTTTGGTATTCAGAAAGAAGGCTTGGCAAGTGTCTAGACTCTAGAGTTGTGTGAATCCCCGGGCACAGCTGTCAAAGCCCAAGATTCAGCACCTCATCGCGCGACGAGCAGATGGAAGACCCGATACACTCCTTTTCCGAGAGGGCTAGCACTTGTGGAAGCCATTGCGCGGGACCGAATACATGCTCGATAGGTCAAAAAGGGTAACCAGATGGGTTCAGCATGAATAGGTACCTGCGCACATTGACAGACGCCAAAATGATGCTGATTGCTGTGATGTTCGTGTCGCGACCAAGTGTGGCAGTCCCCGCTAGGAAAATTTTACCGCCTCGAATTTCGACTGCATTGCGCGGCACTTGTGCACAATAGATCCGCATGCCAGACAACCCACAAATATGAGAAGGTCATTCGCGAGCCGGGCACAGAGAAATTAGAGTGCATCAGCTACAAGTCGGCTCGGGCGACCTTGCACACGTATGGCAATGGCCGCATACCCCAAGCCCGAGGAACGCTTTTGTATCGGTTCGCAACAATCCTATACACTGCTCAAGGCCGTATCGGATGGATTGTAGGCACTCGGTCCCATCTCGAAGCGTTGCGCACAGCCAAAGACACTTGCCAGTCGATGAAGACATGCATTCGTAATCTTTTCTTCGTTGTTGGTATAAATGCTAAAAATATGTCAGGCAATGGGCATAGAAAGTCACATGCGTGTAACCCTTCCCGCACTGTTCATCGTAGATGCGTGTAGCAGCTATCTCCGGTGTCGTCTCGCAGTCCATTGATCTTTCATGACTTGACGTTCTTACAAGAGCGGTGTTTCAAATGAGTATGGCGAAGAAGCGAAGGGGAGGGCGGCAAGCTTTGTGCTTGGTACAGGTCGTAGGTTAAGCCCATCCGACATGGTTTGAGCACATTGGAAGTGCCCTTGGTGAAAGTTTGGCCTCCTCTAAGCCTCCGGTCTCCTGCAAACAAAGAACAACAGATACTCAACTCATACCGCCAATCGCAGTTCTGCCTGGAATGGTTGATCCCACGGCCTCCCTCCACTGTAACCAGAGCAACCTGATCTCAAAAGTTTATTCCATTCGATGAGGAAAGCGATGGGTGGCAAGGTGAAGGTGAATGTTGGTGTGCCTGCAGAGCTGAGCTGCCCTGAGTTGGGCGCGCACGACTAATAACGCCCATGGGCAGTTAGAAGTTAGTCGTATAGTGGCGATCCTCGCGTTTCAGGACATCTCTCCATCACGGATTGTCATCATCGTCATTGTGCTTGTGCTGCTTGTGCTTCGCTTGGGCCTACGCGGTCTTACTTCAACAGTCTTGGTGCTGCTCAAGCTTGCAGGAGCTTGCAGGTGGCTGGGTCGATTATATCAAGAAGCCGTGTCGCTCAAGCTCTCCCTCATTCGCTGCACTCGACAATCCTACGTAAGTCAACCCTAATTGAGCATTGACAAGCATTCCAAAATTGAAGAAAAGCCCCTCTTTCAGGAAAACCCCAGACGTCATGGCGGAAAGAAGACGAAATCCTCCCCGAACTGCTCGACATGCCCCAGTCATAGCTACTACACCGGCAGCAGCAGCACCGACACGCCATAACCCACTCATCGGCAGAGATCGGCGTGGAGTTAACGCTGCCGTGCAAGACCCGGCTCTTGATGCTCGCCTACACCCCGACTTGATCAATCCTACCGTCCCTCATTTCGCAATCATGCGTAATGGACCCCGCTTGGAGTTTCTTGCGACATTGCCCGGAGGCCCTGTAAACGTCGGGGTTTTCCCAAACAGGTGTCGATACTGTCGTACCACGATGCGAACCGAGTCGTCACTGTGGATTCACGAGGGAAGACATTGGGGGGTTGTCCATTGTCGCAGGTGCGCCGTCTACTTCGCTTCCAGACAGGAACACGATGCGCACGTTGCACGGCATGGTGTCATTCGGCGTCCTCTTCTTCAGCCCGAAGCTCCTGCCCCCCCTTGGGCCCTTCCAGGACCTCCAAGACTCGGTCGATTTGTACCGATACTGCGAAGCGGTGTAACTCATTTGCACGAGTTCGGACACGAATGCAACTACTGTGGCGCCTCGTTCCCCAGGCAGGATCATCTCATCGAGCACGAAGGCCGACACTGGGATGTCTTGAGATGTTCGCGATGTCCATTGTACTTTCTTACCGGACAGGAGTTGGTAGACCATCGAAGAACCGCTCATCCCCGGCGAGACGTCAGGATTTTATTGGCAGTTAGGGGGATGTCTGATGACTCGGGGAGAGGGCTCGGAAGATTTGATGAGTAGGAAGCGAGGCCAGTGATAAGCATGCGCGCATCCCATAAAAAAAGGGTAAACAGCTGGCCAAAAAAGTAAGAGCAAAAAAGTAAACCCGCGACGAGGATCGAACTCGCGACCTTGTCCTGTCTCAATCCCTTAATAGGAAAGACACGCACTACCACTGTGCAACGCAGGCCTTGATGAAGGGTATTCAACGCTGGCCTTCAGATCGTTTGGCAAAAGAATATCTTTTCGTGGGGCGATCCAAAACATAGCTTATCCTAACAACAGCAACAAATCCCCCCTGCAATGCCGTGTCCGCTGTAATGTGTCTGAAGGGCAATTGTCTTATGTAGTCTCGGCCGCACAATCGGGCAGCTTAGCAGCTAGAATAGCTGACAGCTAATGGGGCAATGACACCAATCGAGCAAACATTTAAGAAGCACACTCCCTGCTGACTAATGCCTAGCAAACCGCGAAGCGGGCGAGACCCGGAGAGCCGCTGCCCGGCCGCCGGCTCTGGCATAGACTATTTCAGTATCCGCAAGTTCCGCTGCTATAGAGCTTAGGAGTTACCGGGTCCATATCCCGGGCATCTCCATCTCCCATCAAACATCCCTGCTCCAGCTACGCAGAGAGAGCCGCAGCCATGAGAAATCTGACACCCAAGATGCCGGTCGCCGCCGGAGAGTTTCCGGAACAGCAACTTGCAACATATAAGATTGCCAGCTGAATGCTCTTTTGCAACGTTTGCAACGCGTTTCCCTTTTCGCATACTGCACATAGTACAGCACAATCTTCGACACCAAGCCCTCAGCCTATTCCACTATGTCCCCGCCACCCTCCGCCGAAGTTCCACAGGACAGCAAGATGCACACTGCTCCTGCTCACCCACGGCGATTTGTCACTTCGCACAACGAAAAGGGAGAAGCGACTTTCTGGTTAGAGGGCGAAATTCCCAGCACGAGCTTTTACAAGGGCGAAGAAGAGTGTGCCATCTTTCATGTGAGCCCCACGGTCACTTTTCGATGGCTCTGATGCTGAACTCTCGTCTCTAGGTACCCTGGACCACTCAAGGTTTCCCCGTTCCCATCCAAGACACGGAAGACAAGGCGTACACCAAGAACGCCTCGACATTAGCCACCAAGGATGGAATCGTGTGCAGATTCGTCGATTTCCCACCAAAGACCTACTCGCCTATGCACCGGACCGTCTCGCTCGACTATGGCGTGGTCATCTTTGGTGATCTCGAGATGGAGGTTGACAACGGGGAGATTAGGAAGATGACACAGTCAGACGTTGTGGTACAGCGGGGAACGTGAGTTGAATTCCGGAACTTCGAATGGACGCCATGCTAATATACGTCCTTTTCAGCATCCACAAGTGGTGGAACAAGTCAGACAAGTGGGCGAGAATGATGTTCATCTTGATCGCTTCTGAGCCTGTCACGGTTGATGGTAAAACGCTCGAGGGTAACATGTAATCGCTTAGAATATCCGCATGAATGAATCATTGGACTTTCTCTCCGTGATTCGCATGATCCAGGTAGCTAACTGCGGGTGTGCTTATTATGGCGAGCTCGCAGATAGAAGGCAGCATGCATTGAAGCTAGAGATAGTGTGCGCCAGTAAAAGGGGTGACTCAATCCACAAGGAGGATGCACGTCGATGTATACTTCTACTCCATGGCTTGCTAGCCTTTCGTTCTATAAGCATTCGAATAACACAAAGCCACGTTGGTTTCCTTTTGTTGATGCTGGCTCAGCGTCAGCCAGAGGCGGATTGCAGCTCACAGCTCCGCGCCGCTTCGTTCATGACACGCAAGTATGTTTGCCAAGAACTCCCGGAGAGGCTGGGGGCGTTCTTGTTCCCTCAGGATTGAAGGAAGGAGAACAGCCGGTGCATGGGAGCGGAAGAGCGGAGATGCTTAGACTCATGTTGGCGATGATATCCCACGCGTGCAGGGCTGATGTAGAACGCGGTGCGGCGGGATGTCCTAATATCCTTTTGGTATCTGATTCATCGATTCATGGCTACGTATCGTATAAACCACATGACAATCATTGGTGCAGTCTTACTGAACCCCACATATGAGCTCGTTTCCTTTCTCTCGGGATATAGCGTTTAGTGGGCTGTGGGAGAAACGCATTACTGTCAATTTCCAAAACGTGGAGTGTAATGTGTTCATGACACGAACCTTCAGGGGTCTTGGCAATGTACTCGATAGCTATAGAACGAATTCAAAATTGTGGAAGCGAGATCAGTATCCTATGCCGATTCAAAGTGGAAAGCTTGCGTCTCCGTGCTAATCAGCACGATCGGACCAGACAACTCTCTCAAAACGTCTCCTTCCCAAACTCTCAGCGAGAAACACCTCCCAGCGCTCCGTCACAACGCCTTTCTATCATGCTAAACGTGTACCCACCTTGACCAACACTCGTAATGGCATCTGCCTCCTCATCCGGGATCTCAATAGCGAACTCCTCTTCAATGGCCATGACAACTTCAACGGCGTCGAGGCTGTCGAGACCGAGGTCTTCGGTGAATGTTGCTGATGGGGTGAGCTGTAGGAGGTGTGCAGACAAGTCAGTAAACGTGCTAGGGGCGGGTGTGGATTCTCGGTTGGAATGTCAAGAGCTCGTTTGTGAAATTGGGTGGCGAAAGACTCATATGATGCAGAGCGTGGTTCCCCTGGGCCAGGTGCTTTTCCTATACCAAAGTCCCCTTTGAGTGGCGGAATGCATCGTGACTCATGCATGGCGGGTCCACCACGATATCCGATCTTCCCTTCGCCGTCAAGATCGTGATGCATTATCTGACTACTTTTCCCTTCGCCAGCGCATTCCTTTTACGCCCTCTCCCCGTTTCCTCGTCGATCGCTTCCAGAAACACCGCAAATTCCACAATATCGCCCCTTCTCCGGATTTCACGACACTCACCTTGGAACCGTCGGCCTTTTCGAAACCCTTCAGAACTTCCAACACCCTCGAGGTGATCTGTTCCCTGTCCAATCCGGAGCTGGCAGCATACCACCGCTGAGCAGCGATGATGGGTGTCTGTCTCTGGGCGAGCAAGGTGGCTGGCCTGACGGCGGCGGATCGAGCGACGGCTCGGAAAGCAGGGACGGCGGCTCGGAACATTGTGTGCTGGGGGTCTCGTAAATGGACAGTAAACAGCGGATGGCAGCGGAAGAAGGCCTGGCGGTGACGTTGAAATCGCCATGGATCTGACATGATTCATCGGAGACCGGGGTGTTTCGTCAGACGCGCTTCAGGCTTTGCGCTGCTTCCCACGATGGCAGGCGCGCTTTGCTTTCCCTAATTTCGCTCGATCGCAGGGAGGTCAAGGAAGGTCAAGTTCAAGTGAGGTCAAGTGGTAGGACCAGCGGTCTCACCTATCAACCAAAGCACGCCCCATCCATCATGAAGCACGGAATGAAACTACGAAAACTCGGGCGGACGTCGTCGCATCGTTCCGCGCTGTTACGGTGAGTTTGCTTCAAGTTCGAGAGATATGCGCAACGAAGGCTGAAACATGATTCATTCATTGGATAGCAACCTTGTCGCGGCGCTTCTCCATCATGAACAGATTCAAACAACAGTACCAAAAGCCAAGGAGGCAGCACGAGTCGCGGAAAAGGTGGGTGCAAGGACTTTTTCGTCAAGACGGAAGCGAATCGACATGAGTTGTGGTGCAGGAGATGGGAGATGGGACGTCTGCGCGGCAGACTGGCCGACGAGCCTCGAGTTTGACGGCTGATGTAGAGGCAAAGTCGGTAGACTTGTCACGTCGGTCTTATCAGGCTGTCAGAGACTCGTTGTCAGGATGCACCCTGATAGTTAGCAGAGTCCGATCGTCGGCTGACCTTGCTTGCTACACTTCCCAATCCACAGATGATCACATTAGGAAAGAAAGGAACAGAAATGGCAAAGCGCTCAGCACAGGCAATGTTAATGGTCCGTTACATCTTGCAACCTTCCCCTCGGTACTTTTGACTGAACTGTCTCCCGTCTTTATCAGCCGGCCCATCATTACGGCGTTTCCTCTACCGAACTACCTAAAGTGCCCATCTCTCCCGTCCCCAGTTCCGTGGAAAGCGATACAACTAGTCTTCTTCCCAAATTATTCACAACTCTTGCACAGCGATACGCCACACGTACGGGCGGGTACACCAGGATCACGAAGTATGGATCCCGTCCGGGAGATAACGCGCCCAAGTGCTTGTTGAGTCTGGTAGATGGGGAGCGGGATGTAAAGTCGGAAATGGTGGCGCGTAGTGTGGGGCGGGAGGTTGTGGAACGGGTTATAGGCAGCGGGAGAGGGCGTGAGGGTTTGAGCGGTGTTTTAGAGCAGTCCGTCAGGGAGGTTATGGAAGGCGGAAAAAAGGTTGGATCCGGGGAAAAGGTGTTGAATGACAAGACGAAGGAGAACGTTGTCAAGGTTCTTGCGTTCAGGTCATCGGAGGAGATCAATGAATTTATTCGAACAGCAACGCAGTATGCTGTAAGTCCTTTCCCTACACCGATCATGGTGATCGTGATGAGTGCTGAACGCATCCCTTCCTTCGGTTTGTATAGTACGAAGTCTGGGCTCTGCCGATCGCTGCCAAAAATCAACGTACAGCACTGGAACAAGTCACGCGGGGCAAGAATCGGGTACCACCGTACGTTGACTTGCCGCTTTTTCATTCACCATCCGTCGATGCTAACTTGATCTCTTGTGCCACGGCTCAGATCATCGTTGAACGCGACCAAGCCCACCAAACTGCCCGCAGCTGGAGCAAGGGCACCTGGATCGAGTGTCACTGCAACAGGATTAGGAATTGCGAGGGGTCTGCTGGGCAGACAACCAGCTCTGGCCCGTCAAACTGAGGCTACTATATAACACTTGTAACAGCAACATAAGGGCGATATGGCATTCTGTGAGCTAAAAGTATTCTGTAGCGATGTGCGCTCAAGTAGCTGCTCAAGTGACTGCCCAGCCCACGTGTCGCGCATGACGTCGGTGTCTTGAGGTGTGAAGCGGATGCTATTCGAGGTTTCCGGGCTGCAATTCTGGCTGAATAGCTGGCTGAATCTCATACAGTGAGACCTGGGCACTCGAGATAGATATATCAAGAAGACGCAGTTCCTCTGTTACACCTTCCCTCACTTGGGATTCTACATTCATTCCTGCTGCAACATGGACCACGCAAATG